CATCTTCACTCCCTAATTCTTCATCACCAAGAGATAATTCCAGCTCTTCATCAATGTTAATAGCAATAGCCTTGTCAAAAATATTCACCGGACTAGCGGAATCACCAACTGATCTATTAATTGGTGAAGACTGCTCTTGGTTGGACGTATCCATCTTATATTCTCAATTTTTTTTAACTATGCCAAAAGAAAAAAAGGAACATGAGCAGCATTCTCTAGTCCCAAAACAGATTACTATTACTAGTAAACAAGTTAGTAGTAGTAATTATTTTCAAGAAACAAGAGGACAGCAAGGCTCATAATGACAAGAACATACATGACCATGGAATGATAATAAGTAGCTTGTACTGTCAAGTGTCAACACAGTTTTCACCCCCAAAAAAATAAGTAATTAAACAGATGTCTCCTTAAATGCCACTATCCCATAGTTACTACAAGATCTGGAGCAATATCAAGCCTCTTAGCACTGTCTCCATTTCATTTTAAGCATTTTTATTATCAGAATCCAACAAATTATAAAATTGTAAAATCTTAAAACTTTGGGGGAATTGTAAAATCTTAAAACTTTGGGGGAATTGTAAAATCTTAAAACTTTGGGGGATAAATAAATAAAAATAATAATAATAAAGTAAAATGAAGGACCAAAATCATGATCCTAGGAATGGGGTTGTCTTTTCTCCTCTGCGGACAGAACATCAAAAAGCTCAAGTCTGATCATTTCCAATCAAAATGAAAATCACAAGATCCTTCCCATGCCATTTCAATTCAAATTCATACGATGGGAGGCATAAAGCAACAACAAAAAAATGCAAGACTGCAATACATCAAAATTTCTCAGGTGCGAGGAAATGAACCTGCGGACTTAGCCGGTTCTTTAACATGAAAGAAAAAATGCAAACGAATCTTCTTTCAATAAGAATTTTCAGCCAGGCATTTCGTCGAACAGGTTAGGGGCATCACAAATTTCACTAATCTTCTACTCAATTAAATCTATATTCAGCCCCCACAATGTACAGCAAAACCAAAAGAATACAGTCTAATCAACACACAGAAAAGGCCACGAACAATCGACGTAAAATTTGAAACAACATGCTAACGGCGGACATGGCACGTTCATCAGCAAACATGCTCTGAAATCTTTCAAAGCTTATGTTCGAATGAAAACTGAAATATAATGGAGAAGATTAACTTACAGTGGTCTCTCGCGGTGAAGGTTCGTGGATGACAGTGGTGGATTCCGACGGGATGGTGGTGGCGGCTATGAGCGGCGGCGGTTCCGGCAGCTCTTCAGATGAACCTTCCTTGCTCTGTTTTTTCGCAGCTTTGCTCCTCTGCCTTTCCTTGGAACTTGCCTTTCTTCCCAACCTGCCCTTAGCACTACAAGATCTTGGAGGTTGCTGAAGTGGAGATGGCGGAAGCGGTGGAGATGCAGCTAGCAGTAGCATCGATGACTGTGGCTGAAGTGGGAGGAAGTGAAGAAACTCGAGATGCAGCTAGCGGTAGCAGCAATGGCAGTGACGGAAGTGGAAATTGGGAGTTTGGGACAGTCGGTGGCGGAGGAAGAAGATCAATCGAAGGAGTTAGCAGAGCAAACAAGTTAACCTAAGTGAAGGAAGGAGGAAAGTTTACCAACAGTGGCTGAAGTGCTGAACATCGATTATAGCTTAGGGCGCAGAGAACATGTAAATTTTAATTGAATCAAGAGTATTTTTGTAATTTCACACATACTCGAGCCCAACGAGCGGCTCGTTGAGCTATCGAGCCTAAGAAACGAAGGCTCGATCTCGCCTCGTTTATCTTAACGAACTGCTCGAGCTCGGTCAACACGAGCTCGAGCCTAGCTTTGACTCGAGCTGCTCGCGAGCAGCTCGAGTCGTCACCAGTCCTAGTCTCAATTGTGAGGTCAACAACTTCCTCAAAGCATCTGCTCCCGACCATCACCTTGAGCCAGTCAACTAAGTTCACATGAAACAGCAGCAACTGAAAAAGAAAAAAAAAAGAACAAAAATCATAGGTGTAACTAATAGAAATACAAGATTCACTCTAGTTGAACCCACAATACATGTCAAGAAGTTATGGATACAAGCATGGTAGAGCTTCCAAGAAGGATAGTCTTTCCTAAAAAATCAAGCCTAGAGTAGCTTGAACCATGAATAGAAAGAATAATGTCCTCGTAGTTGGTCAATTTCAAACAGCAAATGACTGGAAATCAAAATAGTAAAGATACGAATCTTTTTCATAATGCTGAGAAAATCTTCTATACTCAGAAACAATCATCATGATGCATATTTCCAAACTTCTATATCAAACTTGGACACTGTAGGTTCAAGAAAACATTGGAAAAGAGAGGAAGGGAAAGTAGATAAAGTACAGATTGTGATTGATTGTGGCTCAAGATTGCGAATTGCAGTTTCATATGATTCATGACAATTTTTATCTGAATCAAAACATTTTTAATTTTAAACAATCCAGTTTACTCCTTAGTAAAAGCATGCCACTTCTTCAGCCAAAACTTTTGATATTTATAGACAAACATGTGTATATATGTTCCAACATTGCTATCTATCATACCTCAGGTGCAAAAGGTGACCATAATCTACAGGATCTCTTCCGGTAATGGCTTCCAAGAGCACAACCCCAAAGCTATAAACATCACACTTCTCATTTATGAGGCCGCTATTTGCATATTCAGGTGTTACATATCTATATGGGTTAAAAAAGGGGGGAAATAGAGAATGTCAGAAAAAGAAGAGCCAAGTTTGGGGAGAAAATTTTAAAACTATTATGAAAAAAAAAAATTTTCTATTTGAGGGGTTGTTTGTGTTGGGGATTCTAAGAATAGGTAGTTCTGAGCTCGCATTTGACAAATGTGATTTATTATTCAATTTTTTATTTTGCAAAAATCTAAAAAAAAAAATTTGCTTCAGACCTCGCATTTGTCAAATGCGAGGTCAGGCAAACATATGCGAGAATGAATTTTGCTTCAGACCTTTTGGTTTTTTAATATTAATAAATTCAAGCTCATCATTTTTGTTTTTTTTTTGTTTTTTTATAAATTCAAGCAAATTGTTTTTGTTTTTCTTTTGAGTGTGCGTTTTGCTTGTTATTTTATAAAATTACAGAGAATGAATTTTTAAAGGTGAGCATTTGATGTGAATTTTTAAAGATTGTTTCCGGGAAGACTCAAATCCATATGGTCAAGACTGTTTGAAATTACTCAAGTGTTTCCTTATAGAACAGTTGAGGTAGTTAATGCAAAAAAAGAACAGTTCAAAGTCAATGGACAACGATTAAAACTACATGCATTTGGCTGGTGAAATCAATTTCAAAGGACTTTTATGTCTTTTGGGTGATTCTTATTCAACTTAAGAATCCGAACCCTTGAGTCGAGCCAACGACTATAAACAAAATCGGTAATTGGGAGGCAACCCAATGTTTTAAGTTGCATGTGTTAATCTGGTATGATTGTATGTTTACAACATGCATTTAAGTTGGTTTGTTATTTCTTTGTTGTAGGTTTGATAATCGGAAGTCAAGATGAGCATTTGAGGTGGAAAAGGCGAAATTTGATCCATCAACTCAACCCCTCGATTTGTGTTAAAGGTGTTTTTGATCTGTTAAAAAGGGTAGAATGCATGTATTTATAATTTTGCATGTGCATGTAAGGTACAAATTAGTAAAGAAATGATTTAAAATGCATTGTTGGTTTTTGGGGTTAATAGTCAAAAAATTAGTTGTGCATAAATTCCTGCAGAAACTGTAGAAAATTGAAAAACGCGACCACAATACGCGACAACAAGGTCGCGTATTGATGGCCGCGTATTACAATCTGCGCCTGCAAAAAAGAAAACACGACCACAATACACGACTACTACGTCGCGTATTACACTCCGCAACCCCAGTGCAGAAAACGTGACAACAATACGTGACCATGAGGTCGTGTATTGTGTGGTCGCGTAATACAACATGTAGAACCCTGACCTCGCATTTATCGAATTCGAGGTCTATGACCTCTTTTTTTTTTTTTTTTGGCATTTCGTTGGTCGCAAAATTCAAAGAGACTTCGCATTTACTGAATGCGAAGACCCCTTGGACGGAATCTCACACTCAAAATGCCCCCTTTGTAGAATTTTTTTAAAAGTCATCATAATTTTAGAAATTTCTCCGAGTTTGGGTTAATTAGAGAGCTTGTAAACAGAAAGCAGTGAGGAAAAGGAGACTTCGTTCAATCGAGATCGGATACCTGATATAAATACCCATCCAAAGGTACCCATGACTTTGGTTGTAATGTGACTTTTTCCAGAACCGAGCAACTTAGCCAGACCAAAATTAGATAGTTTAGCATTGAAGTCATCATCAACGAGTATATTGCTTGACTTTCTATCTCGATGCACCATTTTGGGTTCAATTGCCTCGTGCAAATATTAAAGAGTGCAAGAAGCATATCTCGTTTGAACTTAAAATGGAACCTAACAATAACTTCAAAGACAAGAAGAAGTTTATATAGATGGACTTGCGCTTTTACAGTGCCTGCTAAAACTTTCATACTAGCCTCCCAAGTAAGATAACCATGATGGCTCAGGGCTCCATGAAGCCATTGTTCTAGATTTCCATTGTTTACATATTCATATACCAACAACCTGAATTTTATAGGGATGTCCAACAGAGGTAAAGTAAAGTTAGTTTGCTAAACAAAAAAGCCTTGAGGTTTAACTGCCTGATCGGTAAATTTTAAGGGTTCAAACAAAATGTTGATCTGCATCTCATTTAAATCTAATGCACAAATGAAAATATGACGAGACAGGTTTAAGCAGTAATGTACCTGTGAGTTCCTTCAATACAGTAACCCAGTAGTCGAACTAAATTTTTTTGGTGGACATGACCAATAGCCTCAACTTCAACCCTGAATTCCTTCTTTGCTTGCCCTCTGGACATTTAGAAACAAGAGAAAAGGCTCGTTGTCAATTATTTATCAGGTTCTGTAGAATACTTGAAGGACCTTATATATTGTTGAGGATTTTTTTAACAGCAACAAGAAAGCCATTTATCAGTCGGCCACGATAAACAACTCCATATCCACCCTCACCAATAACATTTTCCTTGGAAAATCTGTTGTTTGCAACTTCAAGGTCCCTAAGCGTAAACCAATGACTCCAACCAAGGTGAGCAAACTCAGGAAGACCTGACAAAAGGGAAGAAACTGCCACTGGATGTGAATTATATATTGCTCCAGCACCTCCCTTTTCCCCTGACTTACATGCGACACCTTCTTTCTCCAAATTAGTAAAGGAATCATATTGACTACTATTATCAGCAGTCATGGCCTTTTCACAGCTAAGAAGCTTGTCTGAATCTTTATCACTAAACTTGTCTTCAAGGGTAAGGAAATCAATATCATGAGCAGCATAATTTTTGGCTGAATATTGGTCAACCTTAATCTCTTTAATTTCCTTTGATACTTGGGAATTTGGCTAATTTGAAGAGTAGTACTGCCTCTTTTTGATCTTTTACGTGATAGACAAAATGGCAGAACCAAAACAATAAACACAAGGAACAAGCCCACAAAGATGGCTATTAAAACCCACACCTTAAGGTGAAAGATGTGAGTTTTCTTTGACAGTTCAAAGTTAAGGTCGGATGCCATTTTAAACAAATGAAAGCACCTGCAGAAAGAAAACCGAGACATCATGAAGAGAGTTTGCAGTGGTAACTAACCCATATAAATCGTGATGGCATTCTTGCTCTAGTTATTACTCACTTTTAATTTAAAACGCTATTTACTTTAGCCGAATTTACATTGCCCTTCTATCTGCCAAGGTGTACATTGTCTTGCATCAGCAAGAAGAAAAAGAACAGTACTACATAAGAGAATTGGTTGAACAAAGGCAACCAATGAATCACAAAAAATAGTAGCTTGAACAATTTTCTGGAGCCACAAAGCTTTGACATAAAACAGAGCGAGAGATTGCCCAAAAAATATGATGTTAAAGATGGAGCCAATACCCATGATCCAAACACACAGGAGGACCGTATGCAGACTTTCAGAGACCAATCAAGAAAAGAAATGAACAGCAACTGAAGCAGCAAATAGCAAAATGGAAGGAAGAAGCAAGAATGAAGAAACGAAGAGAAGAATTGAAGGTTGACTTCCAGTGAAAACCTCGACCAATGCAGTAGTAATAAATGGAAGGAGAGGCCAAAAAAAAAAAATCACGTGCAAGGAGACCAAACTTTCCACCAATCACCTCTTACCACATCATTGGAAAGCCAATCACCTCTCGCCACATGGGCGGACGATGATTCCCAGGTGGCACCCGAGCCTCCACTCTTAGTATGTATGGTTGATGACAAAGTCCAATTGATCAAAGTCCAATCGAGTTGAATAAAGTAGAATAGAAGATTAGGATTTGATTTTTTTTTTTCATCAAGTTTTAAACAAGCTTCTACTAAGCTGAGCTTTAGCAACTGAATTGTTTGTCTATGTAAATTTTAAGCTTTCAGCTTACAAAAAGCTAATTTGCACCGGAAAAAGGTTAAACAAGCACTCAAACCTTATTCAAGTTTAATTATATTTTTTTCGCAAATGAACGCCTAATAACGTGTTGTTTAGTTGAAGAAATTGAAATAAATGTAAAGAACAAAAGAATTTGAAATAAAATTATGGAGAGCAACAACGTAAAAGGAAAAAGCAGTTTCAACAATTTGAAGGGGGGGGTGCAACTGCATATATGAGACCAATTAATTAAGACCAATTAATTAAGGATTAATATTTTATACACCGTCACCATTCGATACATGACAACTCATCTGAATTTAAATTTAAATTTCAAATTTTACTCATATACCATGCATCCAATCGTAATAGTGTATACACTATCAGTATACATAAGATTTACTCGTTAATAAAACTAAGAAATTTTACTAGTTGCAATGAAACATACTTATCGTTATACTATGTAAGAATCCGTTGTGATCAAAGGTTATGTTTGAATTTCAACCGCAAAGATAAAGATAGTTTGAAAAGGTAAAAATGTTTAAAGTGTAATTGAAAATTATCCAAAATCCTCTTCTAAAACTTATCCAAGATGATAAAACATTTTAAAGTATCAATTAGACCCCTCATCTCTCGAATCTATATATGTTTGTGAAAAATCCCTTAAGTAATGCTTCTGATTTCTCTCTCGACTTAAGTTCAATCTGAATTATCAAGTCAAGTTTATCCATCAATCACTTTGCGTCCAATCTAATCTAAAATAATTTTATTTTAGACTAACTATTTATATAATTTGGTGGGCATAATACGACTTAATCACATGTTTCTTACAGAGATAATAATGCCCGAAAATGATAGATAGATAAGAAACTTAAGTGGTTTTTTTCAAAGTTTTGTAGAAACTATTCAGATTTGGTGTTTTTTGCTAGGGACATTTCTTTATAATCTCATAAATAAGTTCAAATCTGCATAATTGTTAAAGATCTGAATTGAAACTATCTCGATTATAAAAAAATTGGTGCAAATAATATTTTCTAAATCTGAAATCATATAAAATGGTAACTAAAATCAGAAGAAATTCCTCATACGAATTCGAATTGCAAACTATAGGTAGAAACTGCTTAATGATATTTTTCAATGTTTACTTGTATGAGTATCCGATATAGCAATTCTACTTAATTGACTCGTTTGAACTATGAATAATAGTTGATTCAATTAAATCAAGAAACATTATTTATCATTGTACAGCATATAATTATGAGTAAATGAATTCATACAATGCAATCAAAATGGTGCTATAGTTAAAGCATTTAAACTCATCAAGTTCCACTGCAAATTCTTTTAGATAGTATAAAAAGTAAATTTTTTGTATTTGAAACTATATAAACAGTAGAATACAAGAACGAGATCATAACAGGGAAAGCAAATAGAGTGCAAATGACATTTTAGTACTATGTAGCATGATTAATTTTCTTTTTTAGTTTCAATGAAGTACAAAATTCTAAGTTAATAAATTTTACAATTATAAAATTCTCAATTAAAATAAACACAAGCTGAATTCCAAATCATATTACATGAAAAAATAACTACTTCAACCATACTATATCCATAATATACAATGCCATAATAATTCTGTTCAACCATAAAAAAATTTGTCAAGCATTAAACTATCAGCAGAATCACCAGGCCTCAACTCCATCCTTCTTGCTATGCTCATTGCAACACCCACACCCATATGCCTATTGCCTCAAACCCGCAAGTTTCAATCGCTTTCATCGATTTTTCATACCTTGGTTTCAACAGTACTGATTAGCGTTTTCAAGCAATCTGAGACCTTAGAAGAAGATGTCAAGGTTGGGGCTTCTTCATGGTAATTGTCGGATCATACCCTTTTTTTTTTCTTTTTTTTTTTTCCACTTGAGAATTTGGATTCCTAGCTACTTGGTAGCAACAAGACATCGGGAATTCTGGAAATTCAAACTCTTTTCTTTTGAGAACTGTCAAAATATATCATGCTTCTACATGATTCAGTTTGAGTGATATATAGTATGTGATGGTATGTGTAGGTGGTGAATCACGACATATGAGAAAGTCTTTTTTTTTTGGTAAAATAAAGATGCATTAAAACAAAGTCAAAGTCTATAGAGTAATAGTTAAAGTAAAGTCATCCGTGTGTTGATGATACCTTTTTAAGTCTTGCAAAAGTAAGGGAAGGACAAAATCAGGATAGGATTAAAAAAAGGTGGAGTCTTCATTGATGCTTCTTCCTCAATTCGCTAGCATGTTTGCACATTTGTTTGCTTTGCGGTAGTTATGGTAAAAACATAACTGTTGGAATGTAGTCAACAGATCCCTGGAGTCAAGAACAATAGGAGAAAGTTCATGAAAAATAAGGTTATTTGATTTAAATAAAGAGATAATACCTTGGCCGAGGAGGAGAAGATGATAAAATTGTTTTTCTGATTATTTTAGAAAGTGACAACATTATCTCAAATTATAGACAGAATCTCTAGGATTTATTAAGAAAAATAATACAATTAGTCAGTTTTTGGAATTAGAAGTATCAAAAAGTAAACTATATGGAGTTCTTGAATAAACCACTCATCAGAAAAAAAAAAACTACATTCGAAGCAGACAAATCCAAAGAACCCACCTCAATTTAAAGGAAAAGCTACGTCTTCTACCAAATATTTAATAACTATAATAAAACCAAAGAGGTGAAACCGAAAAAGAAAAAAGGATATCGGCTTAACATAGGGGCATAAATATGATAATGATTGTTCAAATAATAATTAAGTTAATTAATTGTAATTAAAATCCAATTATGTAAACATCCAATTAATTCCTTAACGGATGAGAAAGGTTTTCAGGAAATTGGAAGGTTTGGAGGTTAGTATAATAAATGATTAAAAGGGCTTTTATATAATTCTATCAAAACACAAAACTTAATTCAGTTGTACTTGATACTGTACCAAACATTGTAACATACCAAACTTGCCATTAACCTTAAATGTCTGAAAGGTTATATAAGTAATTATAGTGAAATTAAAGTTGTAATGACTTGTACTCAATGTTTCAATTACACTTCAAACACTCTAACATTCCCAAAATAACCCCATACTTGCGGTTGAAATCTAAAAACCGTTTTTGTCTTAAACTCGTTCTTATATAGTATAAGAATATATATATATATATATATATAGGGTTATTATTACTTCACCCCCCTTAACGTTTGGTGTAACTATCAATTTCTCTCTTAACGTTATCTTTTATTCACGTTACCCCCAAGACTAACAATCATATTTAACGGAGTTTGTTAATTAAAGTGAAAAGACATGTTTAATTCTTAAAATTATAATCATTTTACCCCTATAAAACTATAGTTTCATTATCAATTTACCCCCTAGAGTTATTTTTTAGGCAATTTATCCTACCATTAAACCAATTTAGCAAATTAAAAAACTTTGGAAGAAAATACCCTCCTCGTTGCATAATAAAAATAATAAAAAATTTAGAATGGCCTTTCTCCTTTTAGTATCAAGGAAAAAAATCAAAATATTAATTTCTTTCTTCTTGATAATCTTATTAATATAAAAAAAGAATAGAAAGATGGCCATAGGAGGAAGGGGAGGAGGAGAGGGAGAGAGCTCAATTCTTTTTTTAAAAATTACAAATAAGAAAGAATTAAATATTTTTATTATTTTAAAATTATTTCATTTTTCTATTTACTACCAAATTCCAATTCCAATCCTGACAACCTTAATGTAATACGATAATGTTAGACTTTTTTGTTATTTTCTTTCTTTGCAAAATCTAATTTTGTTTCTTCTTCTTTTCTATCTCTTTTTCTTTTCCTAATATTAATAAGTGTGAAAAAAGGAAATTTGAGAAAACCCTTTTATTTTTATGTTTTTCGATCTCTTAAAGTGAAAAAAGGGAAGAACAATCATTCCAACTTTTTTATGTTTAATTCTATATAAAAAGGGTAAATATATTTAAAATTTTTTGACCATACTAGTTAGATTAACGATGAAGTAAAATGCCTAGAAAATAATGTTAGAAACTAAAGTGATTGTATCACTATAATCTAAATAAATAAAGTGATAATAACAATGTAGTAATGCTATAAAATAAAAAGGTATTTTTGTGCAAAATTTCTTAACATGTTGAATTGAATTACTTATGGGGGTAAAGTGATTAAAAAATAACGTTAGGGGGTAAACTAATAGTAGTGATATAGTTTAAGGGGGTAAAGTGATAATAACCATATATATATATATATATATTGGAAGCTGGTTGGAGAAAAAATAACATACTTTTAGCCAAAAAGCACATTAGTTACAGAAAATCCACTTATGCTATTGGGGGATAAGTATGTAAACTTTTCACTTACGTGCACAAAAATCTATTAATCTAGGTTGTCATATTTAAAATTTTTTAGGGGCCAAAATTCGTCCTTTCAAACCCGAGGGATTAAAAAAAGAAAAAGGTATAATTTTATATACCAGATCATGTGCAATTTTCCCTAAACTTAATCTTCCACTAAAAGCAGTTAAACTCTTTTTCGAAAAAAAAAGAAAAAAGAAAAAGAGCAGTTAAACTAACTAACTTGCGTTATCTTACCTGTAGTGTTTGCTGGGATTGGACCTGGGATTCCCAAGCCTCAAACAACCGTGGCCACCAAGATCACCACAAAACTTGCCCCGCATTCCCGATTCCCAGGTTTTTGTCCCTTGGTTGAGGCTGTGAAGAAGCCAGGACAATTCAATTCAAGATGAGTTTGGCTTTGCCATGGCTGCAAATGGCACCACCATCACTTACTCTACAGACAAGACCAACAAAACTTGATACAAAATCAAGGCATTCCTTCAGCTGCTTCTGCTCTGCTGCTGTTTCTGAAGCTGGCTTACAACCATCTTCTGCAATACAATTTTCTTCCAATTCCTCCACCTACCGCCCTGCTGTCATTCTTCCAGTGAGTATACTTAATTTCCGTTCCTCTTCACACTCATATATGCTACAAAATTTGTTATATCCTGTTATATTCTGCAACTTACCAGTTACAGAAAATGGCCCACATGCCTAATTGCTTCAAACAGGTAGTCAATGCTGTATCATTCATCTATCTTTTTGGTGTACTGAACCTAAATGGTGATGTTAATTCACTTTCTTTGACATGTGATTCTCTTAATGATATTTTCTTTCTCGTTGCTTCTTTTGTCTGCTTTAATAAGCATTGGAAGAGTTGAAGTAACAAGACCCGAAAGAAACCGGCATTTGAACGGTTGTACGCCACTTGGTTTTGACAAAATGCATATTGGTTGCAGGGCTTAGGAAACAATACAAATGACTACGAGAAATTGGCTCTGATACTGGATGGTTATGGAGTGCCAACCGTGGTTGTGAAGGTTTCAAGAATCGATTGGCTGAGGAATGCTGCTGGTTTGCTTGATCCAAACTATTGGCGTGGCACCCTCCGTCCTCGGCCAGTTCTTGATTGGTAGCAAATATTAATTCCCCCTCTCTGGTCCCTTATTTTTTGCATCTTTACCGTTTGTACGAAGTTTTTTCCATGTTTGGTTAATATAATTAGCTTTCGGAGCAGGTATTTTAAGAAGCTGGATGAGGCTGTCAGCGAAGCAAATGAATTGGCTCAAGGTTTATTATCTTATTTTTGAGCTTTTATCTGATTTCTACTAATTCCCACTTTTCTAGAGTCATCTTTCAATGAGCTTCCAAAGGTTGTTGTCCTTCATGAATGGCACTCTGTTGTACATATAAGCTGTCTATTACTTGTAGATATGTTTGTAGATGCCTCTTAAGATTCAGAAGCTTTTAGTTGAATGCTTATTGAAGAAAAGTGCAATAGCCTCCTTGGGAGAGTATTCCTTGCACATGGACCGATAGAAGACAATTTTGATATCTGAAAGAAAATCTTATTTTGTTATTTCATTCAAGTCTTGGTATTGTGGGTTAATATAATTTTTACACTCTTCTCCATGAAATTCTTTATGAATTCCTCCACTAAATTATATGCACTGCTGTATATGTGCAGTGCTGTAATTTAATGACCACTAGTTAACACATGAACAGATCTTTTATCATCTGGATGGTTACGCCTATCAAGCCTGAAAATCCCATGCGCAATACTTTGCTGTGTTTTTAACAAAAATAATCTGGACTTTACAAGATATTGTGCTGAACTTCCTCTTACTTCATAATTTCCGCTTCCATTACTTTCTTCCTTTAAGGATTGTGTTTTGCAACAATTAACGAACATATTCTTCTATTTAACAGGACATGTTTCCATCCCATAATCAGGCAAATTTTGTTGTAGGTGGGGCTTTGTCTTTTATTGGACATTCAGCTGGAGGATGGTTAGCACGAGTTTACATGAAAGAGTTTGGGTTCTCAAATATTTCACTGTTACTGACTCTCGGAACACCACACCTGTATGTATACTTTGGTCACTGTATTTTAGTTAGTTAGCAGATATATGATTAATGAAATTGGATGTGAGACAAGATTGATAAAGCATAACCAACTGTTCTTTTCTTCTAGCCCACAGCCGAAGGGAGTGCCTGGAGTTATCGATCAAACAAGGGGCCTTTTGTATTATGTTGAAAAGAACTGTCCAAAAGCTGTTTATACTCCAGAACTGAAATATGTATGTATTGCAGGCAGGTAATCGGCTTAGCTTTTCGTCATTATGCTTATGCTTCTTCCAAATCCTGTGCATATGTTCATTCTTGCACCTTTTGGCAGATCCATCTCTAATTTAACACACTTAATTTTTCATTCCAGGGGTCTTATATATAGTTTTCAAATGGTATTGGTTTGGATCCTTGCTGAAATTAAGATTAGGTCCAGTATAATGTCATCTGAAGAGAATGGTCTTTGTACATTACACTATGAAAATGTGTAGCTTATTGTTTTTGACAGATAGTCCTTGCTATAAATGGGGTAGTTTTTCAAGAATGAAAGTTTTGCCTCGTATGGTATTTGGTTGTGTCTACATCAATCCAAATCCACAAAGTGCTTGTCATTTGTTTTTAACTGAATATCTTGTACCTTGAAAAGCTATCAAATGCTAGGAACAACCACTATTTTCAATAATGAGCCATGAGCTGAAATATGACACTTTTTTTTTACAAAAAACAGATCCAGCGAATGCATATGACATTGTTTGCTAGAACTGGCTAACATGCATCCTGCTATCACACAGGAAGAGCTGTCGAACTTGCAATGAAGTGGGTAGAGGATAGGTTTCAATCTCATAATGCACATTAGCAAGCCAGGCACGTTGATTTCTGTCTTTAATGATGGTACTACATACACATCCCACACATCCCGTACAGGGACTGAATGGCCAACCTTATGCAGTTGGCACTAAGGGTTCAAACAAAATTGTTATTTAGCATCTTTTACAGGGAAGCTCTTCAGTTTCTGAAGTGATTTTCTGTATGATACTCTATTTTGATATTTTGGCCACCTGCAAATTATTTATTATGCTTGGAAAAAGAAAGCAAAATCATAATGATGGATTAATTCCAAAAATGAGACCTTTTAGCTGGCAGGACAATTGTTTAAATAACATTTTTCAGAAACAGACACTTTCCCTGCCTCAAGACATTATTCCAAGGTTCCCTATGCTGTTGCCAAATTAAAAACATTCAGTATCTGTCTTTTGGTAGATCAAGTCTCCCTGAATGATATGATTACTTGATGCATGTAGCATGTAATAAAGGATATGAGCTCCTGGATTCTGAGTAGCAAGCCTCCAATTAAAGAAATGATGCTTGTTTAGGTGCTTTTTCTTATGGACTATCTGCATGCTGTAGCCTCCTTTGTCTGCGGTGGAGATTGCACCTTGTCAATGCAGTGATTTATTTCATCTCCTAACTTCTAGAAAGATTTGTGTCATGCTGTTTGTGGACTCGCTATCTCTCTCTCTCTCTCTCTCTCTGAGCTTGACATAAGTGTACGAAATTAAATTCTTGGATTTTGCTATTTGGACATCTGTAAAAGTAATGCTCATAATGAAAACAGCCAAAGTAATGACTTTTGTCAAGCTGCTCAAAGATTCATCCAGAGCAATATTTGCAAGATGAAACAGAGTAGTCAAACAGTTTGTGGATCGGTGAAGATTGTGTTAGTGAAATGTCGTCATGTATATTATGCAAATTAAGAAGCCCAAGCATTGAAAGGATGGAAACCTTTTTATTCCATATAAAAAGCTTTTTTCTAATCAAACCTTATATGAATCCTCCTAAATCTGGATGCTGAATGGGGCTGTTCAATTGACAGGTACATTGAAGGAGCTCGCTTCTTTGGCTCAAATGATGATAGTTCTGGAATGGCTGTAAGCATTGACCACGAAAATTCTGAGATTGCTGTTGTAAACACATCTAAACCACCAGCTGCCACATGGCGTGCTCGCTTTGTTGGTCAAGGCTACAAGCAGGTAAATATTTGGTAATGAAGCAGAGTAAAACAATAAAATGAATCTTGGAGGGTACTTTTTCTTTCATTCCTTTTTTCCCCTACGTTAATTTCCTTAACCTTTTTGATGAATTTTGAACTTAAAAGAGCGTCATGTCTCTCTCTCTCTCTCTCTCTCTCTCTCTCTCTAGGGTGTTTTTGCATTTGTGTGTGAACTTATTGGAGTAGCATCATCCCTTGGTTGAAATCGGTGATTAACAGTGAGTATGTTTCAGGTTTGTGGCCAGGCAGATTCATGGGGTGATGGAGTTGTGCCAGAACTCTCAGCACATCTGGAAGGAGCACTGAACATCAGCCTTGAAGGTGTGTACCACTCACCTGTTGGTTCTGATGATGAAAGCAGACCATGGTATGGCTCTCCTGGTGTTGTTAAACAATGGATACATTATCTCCTTCACTAATCAGATTCGACACAAACAATACCGGACGGAGAAGGAAAACATCATTGTTTTCTAGCACTCGAATTCTTAGCTATTTTTAGGTGCTTTGCTGGATTGGGATGGTAAATCACTCACTACATACTGGCTAGATTGACTAAACTTGTATCAATGATGTTGGTACATTGATTCACGAGATGTAAATTGGATAAGCAATCATTTCTTTGATCCCCCATTATCCAAGAGGGGTTGATTGTCAAATGGTAAATATCTACTTCCATAGTGAAGCAACAAATCCACAGTTTCTTTGTCTTGGCAAGCATGAATATCTAATTTTTCAATTTTGTAATATCTTGCAGTTGAAATTTTGCTTGCTATCTTAATGTTTACTCTTTATGTTCTTTTTTCACTTTTCCCCCCTTACTGCTAGGATACTTTTATCCCATTCTTATCTATTTAGCAGCATTTTCTTTTTTTTTAATGTTGGCCATGTCAAATCTTGTCTTCAGGTTAACCATCATCTTTCTGGATCACTATGTTGGACCGAGTTTCAATGTTTTAAATTCTGGGATTAAGAGAGTAATAAAATTTTACAAGTCAACAATCTGATGAAGCAAGAAACAACACAATTGATATAAGTCATATTACAATAATTTAACCGTCAGTTGCACATTTTTCTTTTCTTTTGAAGTCAATAACTGTACATCAAAAGTGTAGATGCCACAATCCAAAGTGTGGCAAATTATACAGTTCTTGATCATATGCATAATCAACAACACTAGTGCATGTTTTGCTTAATTTCCGGATTCGGTTGCTCTCTATGGATTTTCCGGATGCAAGGCTGAGGCGAACACCTGCTTCAAAGTCTTCTGCCAAGAACAATTGTTGGCGAATCTGAGGTTTGCAGCAAGGGATTCCAAAGAGAACCTCATCACTCCTGTCTTGGCTTTCCCCAGAAAACAATGTCTTGGCCTGTGAGGGAGTTCAAAACATACAAGAACAGTGAAGGAACTGAACGGATGAAACTAGAATTACTTAAAATTCTCAAAAAGCCTTTTGGAAATTGAAAGCATAAAGCCAGTTGGCTCAGTATATGCAACATGCATGGCCATCTGGAGTCGTTGATGTTTTAGGATAGACTGCAGAAAAGTCACTGGTGCATGCTTTATAATCTTGTTCACAAAGTGATTCTAGTCCACAGTAGCTAACTGATGCATATATCAACTTGATCTACGTGCTGACTAACATCTATCATGCTCCAAGATGAGCCAATGCAACCCCACCCCACCCCACCCCACCCCACCCCCACCCCACCAAATTAGTCATTGAAATTTTAAGGGATGGATTATGTTACTGTCAAGAGCAGTTCTTTACTAGCCATATAGCTCAAAAGTCTCAAACAGAAACATAGAAGTTGAAGATGCTGAGAAATAGTAGTAGTCTTGAAATTGCCATACTTACTATTCTGGTGGACCATTACTAAATCGATGTAGATGAATCCAATCATGGATTTATCATGATCATCGTCTTCAGCCTCCTCTTCTTCACCATGATGAACATTAGACTCCATATAGTTGCTCTCTATCATTATGGCCAACGCATCTATAACATTAGACTCCATACAGCTGGTGATGTGAAGGGCTGTCATCATTTTTTTTTTGGTTAGAAATCTTGAAGAATGGTAAGTTGGTAGGTGAGACTTTTATCATAAAATACTTACCAGATGATGGAAGGTGAAAATTTTGTTAAATCATATCCCTTTTACGAGATATTACCAACACAATTTTGGAAAAAGTAACTAATGCATATACATAGTAAATCTATGCATTTATCTTTTTGCTATAATTATAAGAATTGCTCCTTAAAATGGAGATACCACAGACAAACATATCGCTATTAGTAGTTCTAAACAATGTTTTAAAAGGCGAAAGCATTGGACAAGACGTTTTGTGTCCACACAGTCAGGACAAAACGCCTCACAAAATTATATTTTTAAATATTTTAAAAATATAAAATACAACATATATATATATATATATATATATATATGCATGTGTGTATGTATATATATATGTATGTATAAAATTTAAAATACCAAAAAAAGGATTAGATAAAATAAAAAATATATATAACATTATGTCTGCATAAGAAAAGTAAAACTTGTTTGTATAACTAAAAGTAAAACCTGCTTGTGTGACTAATGTTATGTCATGAGTGAAAATCCAACAAATCACAGTAAATTTTGATAATTATTTGCATAAAAGACTTGACGTCATCCCGCAAACTAATGATCATGGTTGCGAAAACTCTTTTCCAGGACACTAGCAAATGATATTTGTGAGTTTTGACTATCAAAGTGAGAGTCTTTCCCCTATTTCTTTAGAGTATCCTTAGTGTGATGTACAAAGTTTTGAAATTTCACCTCCTTTGTATCATTATATTCCAAACTAATATCCATGTTCACCAACTTAAATTTGTAGGCTAACATAAGAAAAGTTTTTCAGAAATTGCAAGTCCACCTTGAGGGTCTCAACTTCCTTAAACAAGTGAAGAGAAAATCTAGTTTAGATGTTCTTTTGGAGCTTAAAAAAGTTCTGAAATTTTGAAAGTATTTGTTTTTTTATGCCTCAAAGAAAAACCTCCCCCAAACGCCCAGGCGTTCGCCCCAAGAGTCAGAGCGAACGCCCCATGACACTAACGCCCCATTTGACCGCCCAGGGCGGTCAGGAATGCCTTGTCTCGGGGCTTGCCCCAGGATTCGCATCAAATACGCCTTTCAAAACACTGGTTCTAGATACATATGTTGTGAAGTGAATCTTAATTTTTAAGATAATTTTCCTTTCTTGGATTTCTATATTTCCAATATAAGTAATAACTAGAAATATATCATGCTTAAAATGTCGAAGTGCTTATCTTTGTAGTGCATGAAGGTTTTTTTTTTTTTTTTTTTGGTTGTGGGGCTGATCTAAATTTCTAAAAATATTTACCTTTCTGAATTTCTTATTCCCTAAATAAATAATAAACGTAAATATTTCATACTTAAAATGTCGAAAAGCAATAGTTATCTTTGTCAGCAATTTCATTTTATTTTTTAATTCGCTTGATCCATTGTCTTATCATGTTGTATGGTAATCATGAGGTAACAGCCTAACAGGTACTATAACGAGCAGCTTTAATCTTAAATAGTCTTAGAGAATGGGTTTAGGCTCAATACATACCATACAACATGGTAATGCCTTTAATTTTACCCGAAAAAAAAAAGGGACAATGCCTTTCTTATGTCATTTTCATTTTTTGCTAACAAGTTCCTCCCATAAAGTAATGAAGAACAACTCGACCCATATGACCAATCGAGGATCTCAAGGCAAAACAGTTATCTAACACTACAAGGGACCTTACGAAACCTTCACTCTGTGCCCGCATCAGATGCCCAAATAACCCCAATCAGCAGCTCTAGATCTAATATTACATCACGCTTAAACGTCCACATTTGAATTGTTCCAAGAGGATAGACAGGCAATCTCATCTCACCACCAGCTCCAGCCATTCTCATCCAAGGGATTAACACAGAAACAGATTACAGGGCCTTGAACAACCTAATGGGTGGTAGTGCTACAATAGCGATGTCCTGCAATGCAAATAGGTTTAAAATCAGCTATTTTTTGTCTATTGAATTCTACAGCCACTGATATCCATGAACAGCAATCGCATCATTGTCAAGAAAACAAATTTGTAAACATGGAGAACAATATTAAGAAGACAGTGAAGCACCGAGTTGTTCCGGGATAGAATACACAGGATCAGTAGCATAAAGATTCAAGTCACAAGTTTCATCCGAAATTTCAAACAACACATATCGTGCTATCCTAAAGGGGGCAGATCCACAAGCCACAAGTTAATAACTAAAAAGTAAAAACTGCACTGTCATCCCAATGGTTTAGCTAATCCATTTGCAGTTAGCCAGTCTTCACAAAATGTCCAGAGAGTATCCTTGCAATCTCCAGCATCCCAACTTTCTCTCTTCCTTCAAACAGTGTCTTGAGCTTGTCATCACAGTAAATCTCTCTCTTATTTGCAGGGTTCTGTAGACAATCACATTGATGTTGCCATTCAATAATCAGTGTCCATTTGAAAGTATCTAATTTGAATGCATGAGTGTCATGAACAATTATTTACAGTCCAATGTATCAACTACCGGCATAAATTTGGGGACATCCATGTCCAACTATATGTTTGTAAAGGTTATAAGGAGAAACACTATTAAAGCATCACAAAAGCAACCAGTATCAAAACTATACGAGGAAAGAAAAGGAAATTGAGTAACATTTCACAAAGAGGACAAGGTAACAAAGGCCCACAATTTGGGGAAAACAGCAGTCAAAAGGTAAGCTTGCATTTCACTTCTACTTCCTTCATCTCCAATAGATAGCATTCTACTTATAAACTTTCATATGTAAATAGATAACCTGACCAAGAAAAAGGGAATATCCAAAAAGCCAAACATCTCTATTCTTCTTGTTCATTTCATTCTTTAGGCCAGCAACAGTAGCTGAAGATTACCACACTCCCTCGTGTCAAAGACCTTTGGTTTTCATGCATAGAACAACAAAAAATCTCTCATTCCACGTGAGAGTACTTTAAGATTCTTAAAAAATGGAAGAACTTTGTAAAACAATGTATGTGATTTTCTAAAAATCTTACCCTGCCAAAAGGAAAAAAATATTTATAACATTAGATTTTAGTCAAAGACATTCAAAATTACACACATTAGAATTTCAGTACGTAGTATTTGTCCGATCATGTCCATATCTCATAACTATTCTTTAGCTATATGAGTCTACTCACTTGGCTGAGTCTAATTTTCAAAAGCCCCTACACTTTATTGAAACATGGAAGAATCTTTCATAAAGAAGTTTACTTCCGGTATCCACAAGTAGAAATTTCCTCTCTCAGTTTCTTCCCTAAATCTATTTCCAATTTTTCATCCCCCTGTCTAATGTTTCTTCAACTCTTCCTAAAATTGCATAAGTAATCCAGCACAGATTAATCAGACAATGCACCTCACAAATAACAACTCCATGTTCTTCTTCTAATCAGCATAGCTCCAAATAAACACGAGTACAGATTACTCCCATTGCACCACAAGATGCAGAACTGGCTCTTACATAATCTCAAGCTAACAAAACAACGCAGCATATCAGAAATATACCCTCAATCTGCAAAAATTAGGACCACCTAAGAGAGAAGCAAAAAACCACAGTATTGCAATAAAACCAACAAACTAGCAACTTAAAAGTAACAAAACAATCATAAAATAAGTCAATCAGGGGAAAAAAATCAATAATACTTCATTTTCACCATAACCCTAATCAACGAACAGTCATAATTTCCGCCACTGTCAACTACAAAAGTGAGTTAAAATTTAAATTCTCCAAAATTAAAGCTGGGAAAGACAGAGAGGAAAAAGGAAAAGAACCTGGAGATTGTTAAGTTTGATGTGCTCCCAGACTTTCTTGACTGCATCGGAGCGGGAGGATTCGGAGACGCCGAGGAAGTCATTGAGAGCAGAAGAGACAGGACTCAATTTAAAAACCCCAGAGTTGGGACTCGGAGGAGCCCGGGGTTGCTTCACCGGCTTCGTCTTCGGCTTCGCATTCGGCTTCGGTTTAGCCGCTGCAGTGGTTGACTTGGAGCGAGAAGCAGCAGCTTTGGTGGTTGCGCCAGTTGGTGGCTTCTTCTTAGCAGTCGCTGCAGCAGTTGCGGCGGAGGAGGAGGTCGACGACGACGACGACGAGTGTTTGGTGGCAGCCTTGGCTGCCTCGAGTAAAACCCTAGTGCCCCTAAACACCCTTGCAGTAGACATCACTGAAATTTGAAAGTTGCGGCGGACGACGACGACGACGACGACGAGGCGGGATTCGAGTTCGGACAGCTATTTCCCCGACACTAGACTGTTTGGGCTACAAAGGTGGGCTTTTTTAAAACTACAGAACTGGACCTCTTTTGGAATTTAATTTTTTGAGTCTTGATAGCCTATTGGACATAATCCTTTATGAAGAATCAGTCTGGGAATCTAGCACGCACAAGTTTTTTTTTTTTTTTTTTTTTCAAAAATTCTTTCTGATTTACTGAAAAATAGGGCTCATTTTTGGGAACTATTTTACATTCAAACTTGAAAGTCTCACAAAGGATGATTACTGGGAAAGATATAGAGATACTATTGGATTTTGAGGACAAAAATTGCTGCTTTTCATTCTTGAGATTGCTATTCGCACGTTATTGCCTTCAGAGTTAGATCAAGGTGGGTGATGTGTTGAAGAAAAGAAAATGAGATTTACCACTATGACCATGCTTATATCTTAAGGAAAAAATGTGATTTTCATCCCTAGTATTTAAGATGTGAATTGATTTGGTCCCAAATCCAATATTTAAGCAGAAACACATCCAGAGGGTTTGTTCTCAGTTAATTATTTTAGCTGATTATAGAATCTGATTTTGGATAATCAGTGTTTGTGATGTTTTTCGGTTGCTTTTGTATTCTGATTATAGATTTTTTTAATAGTCAAAAAAATTAAAATCTATAATCATTCAAATACTAGTTTTTTTTTATACTTACTTTTTCTATAATTAGATTTTGCAACATCTAAACCGAATGAAAACCAACAATTATTCTTTAATTTGGATAGAAGTTCACCAAAATGAATAAAGTGATAAAAATTGAAAATTGCAAAATTAATGGATGCCTCGAGCACGCCAAATAGAAAACCACTTCCAATCAGGCGCACCAAGAACAAAGGAAGGCTTACTGGTGCTCATAGATGACTACATTGCAGAAATTAAAAGCAAAATGTCACCTCAAAACAAGGATGACCTTCTTGATAACATTATATTATTTTTCCTCATATAGGTCCTACTTCGAATCTCGCCCTCTAATTCCAACCGCAATCTTTTCTCTCAACCAATTGTTGTGTTGTTTCGATTACCTCTGAGTGTTAATCTAACTTTGTTGTGTTATTTCCAGTAATTCCGATTGTTGAAAAAAAAAAGAATCTTTTCTCTCAACCAAGTTAGAACTAACAACAAGAACTGCATCACCTTTATGCCAACTAGCAACTCCTCCCTCTTGCTCATTTTTTCAGTCATTTCTTTTAGTTGGTTCATTCTACTCAATAGACCAGGCCTACTGATCTTTCACAAATTGGTTCATCATGCCAAGCCAAAAATTTGCACCTGCGATCCCTCTAAATCAACACCAAATTTTACGCAATTTTTTTTTCTCTAAAACGTACAAAAATTTTTAAATGGAAAAAGGCTAAACAAAATAACGAACAAATACCAAAATCTTACCAGTTATAGAGGATGCCTGAGGAAACTTCTTCTAGTATTGTCAACATGTTGTTAATTTTGCTCATACTCCACACTTGTAGAGAATTGTTCATATATTTTAATTTTGAGAAGGTTTGATGTAAAATGTAGGGTTTTATAGGAAAAAGGGGAAGGGAAAAGTGAAAACTCGATTGATTTTGATGAATTCCCAAGCTTGCTCCCTATGGGGTGCCCTTTTCGTTCAAATTGAGAGAATAGTCGTTGATTGAATCTAACTGGATGAAATTGAAAACTTAAGAGACTAGATGTCTTTTTGCCAAAATATGGCAGACTAGAGTGACTCGTCCCCAAAAAAACAAGGGATGAAAAGTGCATCTTCCCTATTCTGTACTTGTAGTTCAACTAGCACGGACATTATATATGTAAGAATAAGATTTCTGGTTAACATGTTTTTCCTTTTTGTAGAGTGCATAAATGCAACCATTTATGAGTAAATTATCCGAGTGGCAACTAATCTTTTTCAATAGTTAAAATTTGGCCACTCGATTATTAATAGTATATATTTACCTATTAAACTATTAAAAGTGTAAATGTTGAACCATTCCGTCTGATTCTACCGCCAACTCTGTTATATCTTAGTGTCTCCACGATTTACAAGACACATTGTTAATGGTTACTACTGACAGAGTTAATTGCAAAATCTGACGAAGTGATCCAAAATCTACACATTTAATAGTTTAGTGAGTAAAAATATATTATTAATAGTTGAATGGCCGAAACTCAACTAGTCAAAAAGTTTAATGGTTATCTGGATAATTTGCTCAACCATTTATCACAGGAATCGCCATTAAATTTTTGTTGGTTCAAAAGAAACTCTAGAAAGCAGAAGGCACCTTATGTGGTGTTTATATGGCTTATAGAGTTGAACATGGAATCACTGCGAACCTTTTTTATTATTGGTAGCACTCGGACTTGAAAAGAAACAAAATGCGAATACTATCACATAATTACTATCACCTGTTTATTGTCTCCATCAACTGAATTGACCCGGAAATTTAGAAGTGTCATTAATTAATGAGATACGACATAATTATCTTTCACATTTTTACGAATGTTAAATTTTAGTCCCTTGCATACAAAATGAACTATGTTAATCCCTCATAGATCAAAGACGCACTTTTTTGGTTCATGAACACAGCTCACATGCAAACAAAATTTCAGAAATTTAAGGGGTGAAATTGATAATTCATCTAGTTCTAATTCTTTCTCTTTCTCTTACTCTTTCTCTTTATTAGCAGCCTACAAACTCATTTTCAACTATTTTTATCACTCTTTATTCTTCACAAAAATTCAAAAATGCTCATGAAATTCAACAACACCCCATAATTATTGACTTATGATTATTTCAAAATCTGCTGTGAGAAAACAAGTCTAAAATTTTGGCTACAAATGACCAAGCCAATCAAATGGGGCCTAAAAAATTCCACTTAAGGGAAAACACTTTTTTTTTTTTTTCCATTTTTTTGGTGGAAACCACACTGCTACTACTACTACTACTATCACCTCAAACCGGCCGGAGGAGGGGGTAGGAAGGGTTGTAAGAAAATAATCCTTCCTAAAGGTTCTGATTAAGATTTGACAAAATAAAAAATAAAAAGTCCAGATTGCATCTTGTACATTATTTTTTACAATATGTATTGATCTCACAAAATTTTATTTTATAATTATATGTTATTGAAAATAAGTTATATCATGTGTATATAAAATTATAGTTTATATATTTTATACAAAACCAACTCGAACAATTTTCCTAACAAGCATTCGGACCCTGTACAAGCCGGCCGCACCCAAATCCACTGACAAAGCCCCATTAGATATTACTAAACAAAATTGAAAGCCTTGCTACAGTGGACTGCTTGTCATTCTCTCCTCCTCATTCTTGAAGCAGACCAACATCCCCCTTATCCTTTCATTCTATCGCATTCTGAAACACCCAAAACTCCCTCTTCTCTTCTCTTCTCTTCTCTTGTCCCGTCTTCTCTCTCGCCCCACCCACAAACATTAGCAAGGATGGCACTTTGAACATTGTACCATAGTCTTAGGCCAATATCAAACCTTCATTGCCTCAAAACAGAAAACTAGAAAAATCCCATTTTTACTTATGTATCAGTAGCAATTGGTAGCATGCTTGAAGAATATATACATAAGCACATAAGAAGAAAATAGTAATATACCAGGGACTACTTATGTATGGATATAATAAGTTGAGAGCAGTAGAAGGAAGAAGATGTCTTGTCTATTGCCACAGTTCAGGTGTTTGCCGGATGCTTTTGGTGTTTCCTTCAAATCCCATCAACACTCTGCCCCCCAACTCTGTAAGTTTTTGAACTCTTTCTTTTACTACTTTTCTGTTTTTGCATTTTACTTTTGTGGGTTGCTAATTTAATAGTTTTGGATTGGAATTAAAGTGGTTAAAATTAAGTGTTTGTGGGTTCTGGGATTGCTTTCTCTTAATATAGCTGATGCTGCATTTAAAATCTGTATTGAGTCGTGCTGCTGCAAGTAAAGTTTGATTTGGTTGAAGTTTTTTTTTTGTTGGTATAATTAGTGGAATGTTATTATTACCTATTATTTATTTGTCCGTGCATGATTTGGATTGTATATTAAGTTAGCTTGTGATTTATTTGGGAGTTAGGGCAGGGGTGGGGAGGCGGCATTATTCCTTGGATTAAGAAAGGACTAGATTCAGCTGTTATTTTTTAGATCGCGAATGAAATTGAGAGATGGGTAAAAGCATAGGCTTAATGAGTAATGAACTTGTAGTTTGCTCATTTTTTGGCTGTTTTGTTTTTGAAGGATAAAAGTGAATCTTGATTTTGTTTTTCTGGTTTTCTTGAACTTTGGGAAGTCCATAAGAGGGGAAATGAAAAGGAAAACAGAAAAGAATTTTGATTTTGTTTTTCTGGTTTTCTTGAACTTTGGGAAGTCCATAAGAGGGGAAATGAAAAGGAAAACAGAAAAGAATTTAACTGGTTTTCTTCCTAGATTGATACCATGAGACGGGGCAGTCAGGTGTAAGTGGGTTGCATTAATGATTTGCCAATGAGTTTGTGGCCTGTGCTAGAGCTTTGCTGGTGCAAGCGTGTGTTAAACAAAGTCAAGATAATGGGGCCCATCACATTGTTAGGCATCTAATGAAGTATTATAATGGAGCACTTGGGATTCAATTAGCTGTTAACATTGTTTCAGAAGCTAAATTCAAGTTTATCTATTGTTACCTTTTGGCCTTATAATCTTGGTTACTCTGTAAGTAGAACTTAGTCTCTAATTATGAGATCCTTACCATGTAAATTGTCTTCTGAGCAGAGCCTCCCCACCCTAAGAAAAAGAAAAAAAGAAAATTAAAGTATTTCTCATGTGAATGCTGAACTGGGCATGTAAATTAAAACCCTTCTGGCAATTCAGCTTGCAGCCTTAAGATCGGCTAGATGGTGCATTAGGATGAACACAGGTAATGTTATTTTCTCCTGGGAGATATTATCGCTGTTAGTCTTCATAATTGTAAATGCAAACATTTAGTTTTCTATGGATCATATTCCATTGATCTGAATTGATGCTTCCTTAATTG